TTAAATATTGGACTGGATGTAGTGAATTGTTTGTATAGTAGTTTCTGAAGAAGCGGAGCCTTTACGTTATGCTTTAAAGTATGCTTAAATATCGTTTTTATATAGTGAATTGTTTATCAAGTTATTGAAGCAAGGCCTTTACGTAATGCTTTAAAATAGGCTTAAATATTGGACTGAATGTAGTGAATTGTTTGTATACGAGTAGTTTCTCAGTTAACTGAGGAAACGGGGCCTTTACGTAATGCTTTAAAGTATGCTTGAATATCGGATTTTATGTAGTGAATTGTTTTTCAAGTTATTGAAACGAGGCCTTTACGTAATGGTTAAACGTATGCTTAAATATCGGATTTTATGCAGTGAATTGTTTGTATACGAGTTGTATTTTGGTCAACTGAAGAAACGGAGTCTTTACGTTAAGTAGGCTTGAATATGTTTTTTTTTTTTGTAGGAAATTGTTTGTATGCGAGTTACTTTAATTTTTTTTTCAATCAACCGAAGAAACTGGGCCTTTACGTAATAATTTAAACGTTTAAAACATGCTTAAATATTGGACTGAATATAGTGAATTGTTTGTATACGGGTAGTTTCTCAGACAACTGAAGAGTCGGGACCTTTACGTAATGCTTAAATGCATGCTTAAATATCGGATTTTTTGGTAGTAACTTGTTTGTATACAGACTGTTTTTGGTCAACCGACGAAATGGTGCCTTTACGTAATGCTTCAAAGTATGCTTAAATATTAGATTTTACATCGTGAATTGTTTGTATATGCTTCTTCGGAAACGAAGCCCAGCCGAGAGAGAGTTGTCACGGGGCGGAGTGACGCAAGTTAACGCCCGCTGGTCCGGCTCTGTCTCTGTCAGGCCACTGAGTGCAGCAGTTTCTAAAAGGTCGATAGGAAGGGAGACCAATTTAGACAGAAGGCCGGCGTCCTGTCATACATCACAGTTGGCGCCACATCGGTACCATCCAGACAGTAATGGCCAATTTCAGGGCGTCAGAAAATCACACATGTGGTGAACGTCAGCACTACATAGTAGCGTGCGTAGTGCAGTGGTTAGCGACCCTGCCCCTGGACCAAGAGGTTGGGAGTTCGAATCCTTGTTGTTATCGCTCACCCGACATGCACGCTACTGGAAAGGGTCGCAGTCCATAGAACGGGACGTTAAGTTGTGGTCCACTGTTTATTGTGCTTGTCGAAAAGACCTAGGGGAATTTCCCCGGTACAATGAACCTGTAAATACCGTATATAGCGTCTGTCTTCTCTGTTAGATCTTCGGTGAGCTAAAACTGGATCGAGACCTCTTTTTTTTTTTCTGTGTAAAATCCGATATTAAAGTGTTTCTTAAAGCACGTGTAAAGGTTTCGTTTTTCATTCAACTGAATTTACAGAAGCTTTACGTAATGCTTTAAAGTATGCTTAAAGTTTAATTGTAGTTTAAGTAGTGTAAGTGGGGAATGTTCTGTTTTGGGTAGCTGAGCTGTAGGTATTGTGTATCTGTTTGTCCGGACAGAGTAGGTTGATAGCACGTGGGTAAGGAGAAGATTGACATGCAGAATGACAGGGGGTCTCATAATCTGACCAAGAGCAAGCAGGAATTAGAAGTCGGCCTGGAGGGAATTCAGGAAGCCGAATCCAACAGAAATAAAAGAAAATCAAATTGCATGATAAAAGCGTAATTAAACATAAGCCAAAGTATCGAAGATAAACAGCAAACGTTTTCGCAAATAAGAAAACATGAAATAGAAATCTTTAAAAGACAATGCACAGCCTATAATACCCAAGTGTCTCAAGATATCGTATTTTACAACAGTATATCTGCAGATTTTACGGTAAGATGTAACTCTTTCACCACAGATTTGCAGATAGTCTCTGCCGCATCTCTTCAAAGTATCAAAGATGAAGACCAAATATTTTCACAAATAAGTAGACATAAAATATAAATCATGATGTTGTCGTATTTTACAACGGTATATCTGCAGATTTCACGGTAAGATATAAACCTTTCACCACAGATCTGCAGACAGTCTCTGCCGCATCTCTTCAAAGTATCAAAGATAAACAATACTTTTTTCTTAAATAAGTAGACATAAAATAGAAATCATGATGTTGTCGTATTTTAAAACAGTATATCTGTAGATTTTATGGTTAGATGTAAACATTTCACGAAATATTTTCGCAAAGAAGTAAACATAAAAATAGAAATTATATTCAAGATATATGAGTATATCTCTAGATTTTACGGTAGGTTGTAAACATTTCACCACAGATCCCTGGATAGTCTCTGTCGCATCTCTTCAAAGTATCAAAGATGAACACCAAATATTTCACAAAGAAGTAAACATAAAAATAGAAATCATATTCAAGATATATGAGTATATCTCCAGATTTTACGGTAAGATGTAAAGCTTTCACCACAGATCTGAAGATAGTCTCTGCCGCGTCCCTTAAGGGACTCAGACATCCCTTATGTACGTCATAAATCTCTTAAGGGGACAGACGACAACGTAACATGAATCCTGGAACAAGACGGTTTCCGGAACGTGACGCCTCTAGGGAGTATATGTCCTTAAGAAGGAGACAGTAGAAGGACTTACATAAGTCTGACAGTGTCTCCATTCTAAATCCCTTATACATTATTAGGCTACAACAGGTAAATTTTATGGAGAGCGCGAAAAAAAACAAGAAAGGCCGAAAAATTCAAGATGCCTTAAACATTTTGTTGCTGTGATCATAGCTTGAATTATAGGTTATATCCCAAAAACAGAATATTACCACAAACCAGCCTATATCATTACTACTAATACCTCTACGGACTGCACTCATAAGAATGGTCTTGAACAAGAGGTCTCATTATGCCAACGAAATTACCGAAAAGCAGATTATTTCATCAAGCCAGCCTACATCGCTCCTTGGGAGCACTAGTTCCGGTATTCCCAAGCGAAGAAATGCAGTCCACTGACATGTATATAAATTATCTCTGAAGTACTTTGCTGGGCATAGATTCTAAACCAGGGTTCGTGGAAGGACGCATGTTTACATGTAGTTCTGCAGACTACAACTTCCTTGGGGAGGGTAGTGAAGACATTTGTCACCCAGGGTAAGATTTGCACATTTATTCTATATTAGTGGTTGTTGATAGTCACTCAGGACGCTCTGAGATATGTGGAAGATACGTCGATGAAGGTTAGTAATGAGATACACAAGGAAATTGTTAGTCAAGCAACAGGAAAGATTTTGAAAATTGTGACACGTTTCAAGTAGCATCCACTACTTTTCAAAATCCCTTAGTCACATGATTGGACAAAGGTCTTATTATGTTTACCTTCGCAGAAGGAAATCATATTGTATTTGGTTCAAATGACCTGGAGGTAAAAGTCAGTGACCTGGACCAGACGTCTGTCACCATGGTAACTGGAGCTGTGGCAGACACCCTGTGGTGTTGGGTTACATTTGGGCAGGGCAGAGCTGGAGGGGCTGGCCATGGTCACATGAATGTAATTAACATTAACATTAATTTGAGTAATTAACAGAGCAGTAGTTTGATAAGCTAGTACATTATGTATATATTATGCATTTTCTTTGCAAATGTTACCTTTCTAGTTATGTTTTGAATTCTCTTGGCTATGGGGGCCGGTCAGAGTATTAGACTAGCCCATCTTAGGATGGTTCCTTTATTGATTCTCTTGAGACATTCATCTTATCAAGATACGAGACACGACAAACTCATCTGCTCCTTATACTATTAACCTGATGAACCCACAGATCCAATTTGCTACAGATGTTGGTCGTACTGGGAAACGTTGATGTCTCAATTCTCTTACTCTGCTCTTTATAATTTGTGTAGGAATGTTTCCTTCATATTTGATTTCACTAAACATGTAATCAACAAGATTACAATGAATGCATAGCAGGTAGAAGCAAAAAAACTTATGATACATATTATGTATTTTCCATTGGAAACCTAATCATTGGGAACCATTCTTTGTGGTTAACGTTTGTATCGGTTCCTGTATTCTATATCTTTTTTGCATTATTTGGTAATTTATTGTTAATATACTTAGCATTATAATGTAGCGTTTCAGTATTCAATACTCCATGTTTTATATACTCCAGACCACATTTGGTCACATGTGCATTTAGTCCATCTGGGCAGGAATATGCAATAAAGATTCTATAATATATAATATATAATTATATAATATTTCTTTCATAAAATTTAACAAGTGTTCTAAAATGTGTATCCCATTTCAGACGGAGAGGTGATAAAATGAACACGACCTGGGCCATAGACGGGATATCTTCGTAGATCTACATGTACCATGGGACTTGACACCACTTGAACATCTACTCTACTGCTTACCACACGAGGTCACGCGGAGGCCTTCTACTCCAAACTACATGTGCTGCATATGATACAACGTGAGTCTTGGTATTGGCAAGCACTTGTAGAAAATGGAACAGTGCTTTGGTAAATAATATTTCTGACCATTGCTGGGTTGTGTGTCTGTTAAATGACCTCTGTTGATGTATGCGTTGTCTTTCCTTTGGTGGAATTGTTGCACTGTATTTTCCATGGACTATTATAAAAGAATTGATCAACAATAGAAAGTTCATGCCCGTGGGCAAATTGCAAACTCACAGGGAAAATGAGGATAGAATGTATTGAAGAATGGTATAAACCAAATGCTAACATAACGTTCTACTTCTACTAATCTAAGACTCTACTTAAAACTTGTAACATATGTGTATGTGAACGAGGATATGTAGTATATGTACAACCAAAATTGCCCTGATGAAGTTGACAGACGGTCACCGAAATAAAAGCCTTGGTTGTGTAAAAAGAGTCTCTTTACTAAGTGACTTACTAACCTAATGAAACTATTCACGGAAACATAACCGACGGTTTTCTTGTCCGTTTCAGATCTATGCCAGATGAACTGGTGACTACATGATGTGTTCTGCAGCGCTGAATACGCCCAGACTTAACTTACCACTCTGATCAACCTGCACGATGAACTTCTACTCTAGGTTCCAGGTGCGAGGGCACCGAACTCCGCGGGAGGCCTCCCACGAGACCGCCGTCAACATCCTCCACGAGCACCTCGGTCTCCTCCCTGACCGGAACGTGGCTTCTGTAGACACCCTCAAACCCACGCTCATGCAGCTGGCTTTCTTCTACCTATGGATCGCCGCAACGGTCACGTTGCTCATCAGAATAATCCACCAAAGCATAGCAAAGCTCTTGAACAACGCCGCAAATACCACAGATGTAGCTACTGCAGAGGAAAACCCTTTACCAAACATCAACGTGGAACTAAGTGCATCAAATGATACATCTAATAGTGTAGAGGGAAACCAAGCAAGCGGTGGTGTTCCTAGCAGTAAACCATTCACGGCAATCAAAGATGTTGGTGAAGGCAATCAAGAAGATGCAGAAGAAGACATCGCATCAGATGCAGAGCAAGAGAGAAACTTCTCCAAGTTAAAACCTCCTCCAAGTTTTGACAATCTTATGAAGTATCTGGTGGTGTTTGGAGGGATCTTGCTGTACTTTTACCTGTGTGATTATGACCACATCTTCCCCAGACAGGAACGGACGTACTCCAGGGACCTGTTCTTGTTCCTGTGCGTTCTTCTGGTTATTGTAGCTGGAGCATTCACACTTAAACCATGCCCGGACAGCATACTAGGCCGGTAAGTTTGTTTTCCTTGTTTTATGTTTGCTAAACTATTTGGTATGTATCTTTACTTATTGTCTTTATGCTTTGTTTATTGTCCTTATGCTTAATAAGTTACATGTTATCTAATTGTATTTTTCATTAGTTAGTTAGTTCGTCGGTTTTCCCTATTTTCTTGTGTATCGATAATGATTGCCTTTTTACTTTTGTTTCATCTTATTTAGAATGTATAATTTACAATGATCTACAACAAGTTGTCCTGTGCAAAAAAAATAAACTATAACAAACACTTATGCCCTTTGTAATAGAATTTAGATTGTGTAACAAAAAGAGAGTAATGAACTAAATAGATTGTACAAAACTTATTTTCCTATTATTATTATTATTATTATTATTATTATTATTATTATTATAAGCACTGTAGAAAGATTTTTATTCCTGACGCAATCATATAACATATCTTAACTATAACTGAAAAGCAAGGGGAAGTTGAATTTATCTAATAAAATTTAGTTTTATTATGTATCTGTTAACTGTATCTGTTTATCATGTTTTGTTGTGACCTGTACTTAGCCCGGGTTGGTAAAATGTTCAACAAAGGTCGCTATTCGTTCATAATTGATAATAACTATATTCTTCTAAATTGTTCTTGTCGTCAGCACTACCGTTAGAGATCTTATCTACCAGGAACTTTAGAAACTACGTTGTAGGTTGTTAATTATGGATGGAGCTACGATAGATATCCATCATAAATCAATAGTATTACGTTGTTCTCTAAGATGGTATAGTCTTTCTTGTTTGTTTTCATAGTGGGTGCCACTGCAGGACAAAAAAAATGTCCAGGCTATGCATGATGTACAAAATAACTAATAAACTGGTGGATGTACAAACTACCAAGTACCTAATACCAGCTCAAAAATAGTAAATTCCTTCAAGTAACAGAGTTATCAACCAAGGATTAAAGGTGTTCAGGTTTTCTTAGAGCTATCGTAGAGTGGAACTCGCTGCCACCAAGAACAGTGGGGCATCATCACTAGATATAACAATGTTTAGAGTTTGATGTGCAACGGTTAGGTGTAACAAGTCGTTCGGTGTGATATAGCCAGCTGCCGCCGCGCCGCGTGCCTGCGAAGCAGGTGTGTTACGCCAAGGGGGCGGTTATACTGGCTATACAGATACAGAAGCTGGTGTGTTACGCCGAAGGGCGGTTATACCGGTTATACAGATAGAGAAGCTGGTGTGTTACGCTGAAGGGCGGTTATACCGGTTATACAGATACAGATACAGAAGCTGGTGTGTTACGCTGAAGGGCAGTTATACCGGTTATACAGATACAGATACAGAAGCTGGTGTGTTACGCTGAAGGGCAGTTATACCGGCTATACAGATAGAGAAGCTGGTGTGTTACGCCGAAGGGCGAAGGTATACAGATATTGATCCACTAACATTACACTATTGTTGTGTAGGGATCAGACAGAGGAGTGGAAGGGTTGGATGCAGGTTATGTTTGTTTGGTACCACTACTACGCAGCCAAGGAGACCTACAACTACATCAGGGTCTTCATCGCCAGCTATGTGTGGATGACAGGATTCGGTATGTTTCAGTTATCATGTACCTTGCCCTGATTTCAAGTAAAATGTCTTCCTTTTGATACTTGAATGAAATCTGATCTGTGTTAGTAGAATACATAGTAGTTTACAATTTTCTAACTTTATCTCAATACAAGAAAATTACTTACCAACTACTGTATCCACCGGTCTTCATCACTTTCCTGACGCGCACTGATTTGTGGGATGTGTGACGTCATGTGAGGGTCAAAGGTGCTCGGAAGTCGATATCTGCCGCCGTCCCAGGTCAACTTGGGTTGATGGGCCCTATAAAAGATAATGACAATGAACTTAATTGCATTAACGCCCTACACGGGCCCAATGCGAGTTAAATAACATGGGTACAAGAATAGAAGAAGCAATTGTTGAATTTGTGTGCTACGTCTCTATCTACAGCATCTAACTACAGGATCTCTTCTCTCGTTTTGAAACATTCAAAACATTCGTTCATTCAGTATATCGTTTATTTAAATCTTGATGCGACGTTAAGTTGATGGATTGTTGGTGCAGCCCTGCACGGCAGTGAAGCATCATCAACCTTTGCTTTCAAACTTCAGGATATCTAGAGCTATTTGTCATGTGTCATACATTCTTGAAGTCAGCAATTTTGTTGTGCAGTCTGTGGATTTGTCAATATGTACAAAATTAGGAATATGAAGATTTGCCACATTTGTGGAAGGCTTAACATAACAGGTGATTATGGATATCAGATGTCAAACCTGAGACCAAGCTCTAAGCCAGGAAGGTCCCCTGCTCTTTTTGATAAGTGTGTTTTATGTGCTCAATGTGTCACTGTCCATAAATGAATAGGTGTTAAGTGCCTTTCCCAAGGACACAGCAATGGGTCAAGAATGGGGATTCGAACCCAGGACCTTCGAATTCAGTGTCGACAACCAGATGCCATTTTAAGGTTATCTACTACATGGATGAGCATGCATTTTTTTTGTTGTTGCAGGAAATTTCTCCTTCTTCTGGGTGAGGAAGGACTATTCCCTCTGGAGGCTACTGAAGATGCTGTTCCGCCTCAACTTCCTGGTGGTGTGTGTCTGTGTGGTCACCAACAATGAGTACATGCTGTATTACATCTGCGCCATGCACACGTACTGGTTCCTGTCTGTCTACGCCTTCATGCGGATTCTGTCCTCCTGGAACGAGCACCGCTGGAGGATGGCGGCCAAGTTCCTGGTGTACTTCGTCTGTAACACCGTCATCTTTGACGTTCCGCACGTCGGGGAAACGCTGTTCACTCCGTTCAAGTTCCTACTGGGGTACAAAGGAGGCATGCACGAGTGGATGTTCCGAGCTGGACTCGACCACCACGCAACTCTCCTGGGGATGCTCTGCGCGTACAACTACCCAAACTACGAGAAACTACTCAACTACCTGGAGAAGAAGTGTGATGCCCCTTACAAGAGGATTCTCGCTGTGGGAGCCAAGGTTGTGCTCAGTGCTGCGTTCGCTGCTGCTCTGTATTTGTGGCAAACGCAAATCATGTATAAAGAAAAGTTTGAGTACAACGCCATCCATCCATACACATCGTGGATCCCGATTCTATCTTACATCTTCTTCAGGAACCTTTTTCCACTGATGAGGTCCTATCACCTGGACTTGTTCGCCTGGCTTGGAAAAATCACACTGGAAACCTACATCTCTCAACTCCATGTCTACATGCAAGACAACGCCAGGCAGCTCATTGTTTACATTCCTGGTTACCCACTTGTGAATTTCCTCATCGCTACAATGATATACGTAACAATATCTTACTTCTTATTCCACTTGACAACAGAATTCAGTGCATATCTTCTCCCCAAAGACTTGAAAGTCTTACTGAAGAAAGTATGCGTGTTAAGTATACTGATATGCTTGGCTGTGCTTCTAGCATTTGCTACCAAACGAGCAGGGTTCCTCTGAGAGTAGAAAAACAAATTGGATGCTAGATTGGCTTCGTAAGAGAGAGTAATACTATATTTGATACACTGATATCACATTGAAAATGAGCCTGTAATGATTTTCTAAAATAGTTGATTGAAGAATAATCTAGAGTGGTCGATATCATTGTTAACGGCAACGACCAGAATAAGTCAATACAATATCAGAACGTTATCAATAGAATGTCATTGATAAGTAATTATATATTGACGCAAGAGAATTACAGGCCAATACAGGTTGTAACGTACATAATAATCGGTCTGCATTCCAGAAATTATATCAATTTTTTTGTCTTCTCTTCGTTATATAGTTTGAGATTAATGTCAATATTTTGTCATTTGGTGATTTAAGCTTAAAGATAATTGTTGAGATATTACATTTTTACTATAAATAAACCACAAAACAGTCATATCATTTTACTGATCATGAAAATAAAAACGGGCCGTAGTAATGTATTGTATACCCACTGTTTTTGCCATAGTTCATCATGTAATTTTTGACCCACCGAAGTTTCAATGATTTGAAGTATAAACTGCTATATTCCTTGATTTATTCGCAGCAAAAGAGAAGTCTTAATAAAGGAAATCGAAACACTGGCCATCGCTTGGACTAGTTCTTACACATTCATTTGAGCTATACTGAAGGCATCTGTGAATAGTTTCATCAGGTTGGTAAGTCACTGAGTAAAGAGACAACCAAGTCTTTTATTATTCAGCCGACGTTTCGGTGACAGTCTGTCATGTGCAATGTGAACCAGTCAGAATTGCCCTGAGGAAGGTGACAGACGGTCACCGAAACGTCGGCTGAATAAAAGACTTGGTTGTGTAAAAAGAGTCTCTTCACTCAGCTACTGAAAGCAATCTAAGAGCCCTTCCCCAATCCTAATCAGCAGCCACATTGGCAATATCACATTGCCGTGAGTTGAACACAGTGTCTTATTTCTATGATTCGTCAAAAAGTCTCAAGACTCAAGAATTATGTATTGATCATTCGCAGTAAACTTAATACAAGACGTTAGTTACTGAATTGCGAATCAATGTACATTTTATTATTTTAAAATCTTTAAATTTTTTAAAATTTTAAAAGTTTATAGTATTGCACATAATGAAGTTGAAATACAGAGTCATTAGGAAGTTAAAATACAGACTCATTACAAAGACTAGAAAGACTACATAGACCACAATAATTACACATACTACTACATACACCACAACAGTTAAAAATTACGAGCAGTAATACGATTAAAAGGTAGGCTCATGCGATACAGATATTTAAAATATTCCACATAAATAGATTGTCTCGTGTACATTAAGTTCTAACAACGCCGACTAAGAACAGGACATATAAGATGTCCTAAAGGCACACGCAAAGGATGTAGTTGAACATGGCATTTAGATCCTATCTATTTATTTTGTTTGTCCCAATCGAATAGTCTTGTTTCAAGGAATCTTCAGAAATAATTGCTCAACCAATGATATGTTGTTACATTAACCCTAATATCCCCAAAGTCTCGTTGTTAGAAATCCCCACCCGCAGTCTTCATTTACAATAGACAGAGACATTTACAATATTGCATACTAAAATTAATCAACCTGCAGTTTTACACACTGAACATATCAGACTGGAGTCTCAATAGTATCGGCGTAATGTCATTTTTAAAGAGCATTAAAAGAGCTTTTGTGTTTACTAGAAATTTTGCATGTATTTTTCAAATTGCATATAAAATGTTTGCTAACATGCAATTTTGTTTATGCCAGGGCTTTAGGTCCTAATTTATAATTTTTTTGAATTTTTTATTAAAATGTTTTAAAATTTATTTTTTATTAAAATTTTTTAAGTATTTTCGAATTGCAGAAAAAAGTTTGACATTCTACAACATTTTACAACATTGGAAAAAGTATTTCTACCACTGCCCCTCCATATTACGTTTCCAACAAATGATAAATCCAAGACATACAAATAAATCATGAACATCCGTAACAGGAATCTTAGTCGTGAGCCATTCTCTTGATATTCAAAACCTACTTTCATTACCTTTTATCTATGGGTTTCAACAGACACTGTGGAATGAGATCCTTTAGTCAATCTAAGGCCATGTTGATTTGATTATATGGATGACATCCTCCGGGAGCCCCAAAACTGATGCGCGCGTGCGAATAAAAAAATTTTTTTGCAAAAAAAAAGTTGTTTTCATTATGAAATCTACGTGGTCATGAGGGTTGAACAAATGGGACAGAATATGGTTTGGCGAATAATCTAGTCTTCAAGTTCATTTCTTTACAATTTCGTCTTTTTTCGTTTGATTTTGGCATTCTACGACATTGGTATAGTTTTTATTTTTTTGTAACTTATGGTATATTTTGGCTCATTTTGCAACTGTTTTGTACGATTTACAGTATGGTTGAAAACTTTTTTGGGGGGGAAACGGCCGAAAATTCATGCGCGCGCGGATGTCATCCATATAATCAAATCAACATGGCCTAAATTGGTGAATTGCGTTGGAGTTGTGGGGTTTGGTTTACAAGGTGCATGGTGCAGATATGTTGACATATATCAGAAATGGGTGGAGTACCCATTGTCATTGCGAAAGGATAACTTTATATATATAAAATGCCTGTCTGATAGTTCTAGTCCTAGTAGTAAGGCCACATCGCCTTAATTTTATGGATGACATCCACGCGCGCATTGATTTTCGCCTGTTCTCAAAAAAAAAAGATCACGTCCACCGAGGCTCTGGCCTGGCTCTAGGCCTGGTAGTCCATGGTAGTTAGCGGCAATATGGAGTCGGTGGTAACTCTGGAGGACGGCACCCAGGCTGCCGAAGCTCCAGACTCAAGGACTCAGTACATACGTACAGTGCCGACTCATAAAATTCCGCAAAAAGCCAGCATGTGTCGGCTTGTCGTATACGTCGCTATGTACTGACGCAAACTCACAATACCAGCTTTGTATATTTGTGGTTTAGTAGCATTTTTATTTTTGGTCTGAATTTTTTTCATTCGCCCGCGCGCACTAGTTTGGGGGTTTTCAGAGGATGCCATCCATAAAATTAAGTCGGTGTGGCCTAAATCAATAGAAGATTGCTATGCCTTTGGGCAGTGGTCCGCAGCGGACCCCAATACTGTGTTTTACCGTTGTTAGAACTTAATGAGCCCCTACTGACCAAACTCATGAAGCCTACAATTCAGAAAGGTTGATCCAGTGTATGCCTGCCTCTATGAATGAATCACCAAATACGTTTACTTGTCTATAAAGAAGGAATTATTTTTAAAAAGGGCTAGCCCAGGAATAGGGGAATATCTGGTATTTATATAATAAACTGGTATTTTGGGCATAATTATTGGCAGAATAAGCTTCACAACTTGAATACAGCGTCACTTTGTCTTCGTCTTCTTGTTATTTTGAATAATAAAAAAATGGACTTGAATTAGGCTGATGCATGCTAGTAATACTAAACTTCGTAATCAGCAATAATCTTACTAACAGGTTCAAAGGGAAGAATACATATATAATTTCTCCATATTTGAACATTTAGAAGATCACCAAAAGACTACGTTTCTACTAAGATCACAAAACCCACTCATTATGCAGAATGTGGGACTATTCATTATCCACTGCCTTCAAAGAAGAAGTCAAACCTCATAATAGCTAGCGTAGTAATAGAAGCAACGGTTATAAGTTTTTCCAGACAGTAGTTGTCTGTCTACTATTATTGTATTTTACCGTGCCTTTGATTGTGAACGCAATTAGCCTTCGGGTATGATTTTGCAAATACAGATTACTAATATATAGATTTAGCTGACGGAATATAACAACTTTCATCAACCATCACCAGCAATAATATTAATATTACTAAAAGGTTCTAATGCAAGAATACAAATATAGATCTAGCCGACGGAACTTAACAACTTTTTTTCAACCTTCCGAAATTGGGTTATTGAAACGCAGATCTATCAGCCGTACAGACAAGGATAAAGTGATTTCATCGAACCATATGTAGAATTTACCCAAGGGTAAAATTGAACACCGCAAACTACCACACCGACCCTAACTATCTTTTACAGATCTAGGGCAAAAGGCCAGTAATCAGTGCAAGCTACAGAGATTACATTCTGAAACCAAAAGTAAAGATACTATAATCAAAGTTCATCTGTGTTGGTAGTTACATGTTTAAAGTTAAAACTTTTGGTCCAACACAAAAATTCTCTCACCTAGAGCTTTCGACCAGTCACTCTGGTCTTCCTCAGTAGACTGACCCAGTGAAGCTTGTCACGTGGCTTCTTTGAAGTGTGACGTCAACACTGGGTCAAAGGTATCTGGTAGACGATGTCGGCCCCCGTCGCGGTTCAATGAAGGGTGATGGGCCCTGATGTATATGGCTTCCTCCACCCCTCTCAAGAAATAGTCTTGTTCAGTGTCTAAAATCCTTACAAGACGTCTTTTTCTTGTAAATTGTTTCCCCTTTTTTGAGCTGGATGCTATAGGGTTTTGTTCATTTTATTTTCTTTGAAAAAAAAAGACTTTCAGCCATGTTTGGGCTGCCCGGTTCGCTAAGGAAGATATAGATTAACATGCGGTTAACAGCTGTTTAGAGGGGTCAGAGACCACTTATGTATCTTGCGGTCATATTAGCCATTGTTTCTGCCGTATATAATTTTCCAACTTATGGGCTGAATGGACACTTTTGAGGTTTGGGTACCCTGCCAAAGTGTGTTTTACATGGTCTATTACTCAGGTAGATGGCTTTTGACAACTTTTTCTGACGTAATTCAGGCCTACTATACCGGCCTTAACTGTAAGGACAGACTAGATGAAGGACAGGCCGCCATGTTGTTCGATCGGCAGCACTTCAGAATTCTGGGGCAGACAGTACTATTAGATTTGTCCATAGGAACACATGCTTAAATACACTATTAGAAGTCCTCATGAAAGTACTTGCCCATACCTCAAAATTTTTTCTGCACCAGGTAGCCACAAGGGTCTGATTCCCAAATATAGAAAGGAAACAGGGGGTCTACAAGGTCAAATTCCCGCCACAGCTGATGATAGTAACAAAACCTCAACTCTGACCTAATTTTCCATGGTATCCATCCGCCTGGCCAGA